CGACCTGTAACAAACTCCATCGATCGATGAGACACGCACAAAAAGGACAGCAATGGAACGAAGGACACATGTAGCTCATGAAATGACACCGTTGAATCGAATCGAAGTGAAGTTTGAGAGAGACGCAGTAGAGATGACATAGTACTGCGTGGCATGGACTAGAGAGCCGATATTCTACTATAGTAGTTGTGTTGTACAGTGGGAAAGCATCCATAGTTTTGCTCATTCTAGGAATGCATGCACACCATTTGGGGGGAGGCATCGCAAAGATTCCAAAACAGTCATGTCATGCATTCAGAAAGAAAGTCGCTTCAAAAAAAATACGAGTACTAGTCAGTTCATCTATCATAGTTCGGCGCATCCATCATTTAGCTAGGACTCCTATTCCAAACAGAGGACCTATGAACCCGTCGCCCGCGTCGCTCTCCAGGGGGACGACACTAGTGAACCCTAGCCGCCGCCGTCACGTCCCTTGCCTTCGCAGGCTGCGGTCTGGCACTCTCTCCTCGCGGCGACGCGTTGCCCTGGATGGCGCGGCCCGGTCCCGGAGAGGTGGTTGAAGCCGGCGCGGTGGATCTGGTGGTAGACCTCTCATTAGCGTGGCGAGGAGGTTCTATGTAGCTGACCGGGGCCGGCCATGAGGGATTCAGGCCTTGTTGCCCGGATCGATCTCGTGATGGCGTCTGCGTCTTCACCTAGCTCGGTTAGGGTGGCGACCCTGGCGTGCGGCGAAGGCTAGTTCCCCATGGCCGGTGGGTTGCTTGGCTTGCCTGATCTGGTGTTGGGTGGCGGCGGTGGCCGCGGTCCAGATCCGTCGCGGCGCGGTCTTGGCTAGCCGGCAACGTGCGGAGGGACCGACGAGGGATGGATGGAGGCCCTCTGCCGGTGTGCTGACGGCGGCTTTCGTCTTCACAGCAAGGCTCCGTTCGGTTCCAGTCAGCTGCAAGAGCGGGGTGACGCGACTTCCGATGAAAATCACGTCGACTACTATCGCGAACAACAATGGCGGAATCTGTGACGTCATTCCCTTCTTGAGGCGTCATTGTTGCATGTTGCGGAACCACGCCCCGGGGGAACCCTAGATCTGGGGCTTTTTGGCTCGGACGATGACGGCATCTTTGATGTCATTTTCCCTCCTATGGGCATCACTTTGGAGCAGGTGCTGACTGGAAGGGGTCAAAGGTGGAGTGGTGTTACCTCCTCCGCATCGACGACGATGATCTCGGGGCTTCGCACAGTGGAGTCTCGGCTTCCGATGCGTGTTGCCAGACTCGCGCAGGAGGATGGTGCCATCTGGCGTCGTAGTGACGTCGACAGAAGGTCTGGCAAGGTCGATGCGTCATTACCTGCTCTGAAGATGGATCGGTGGAAGACGGTGGCGGCGGCCTCTAAGAGTGCGCCTGACCGATGTGTGCCCAGACCTGACAATGTGGCTTGGTTGGGGCCTCCGGTTTTAGATGTTAGGCTTTGGTGTGAGGTCTATTTGGTATTCGGCTCGGACTATCGACACCCCTTCATCAAGTGGATATGAGTAGCGTCAGATGTTGTCAAGATAGTGGCTTCAGACTTACTGATGTATTACTTTGTAAAGTTTTTGTGAATAATTAATAAAGTGGTTGCATGCATCATCGAGATGTAGAGGTCGGAGGTCTTCCTCTTTTTCTAAAAAAATAGAAGATCTATACATTTTGTCTCAAGTCAAACGGTACAAAATTAACAAAATTCGTAGGAAAACTATGAATAATTACAATACCAAATTACTATCATTGAACGACTAGCGCCGGCTTGAGAGAAAAACTGATGCCCGCGTCGCCCGCACGGGCGGAACCAGATCTCCGCCGCCGGAACTCCCTCCTCTACATCTCCTCCTCGCCGCCGCTGGCTTATGCCGCTAGGCAAAGCCTGCCGGCGGCCGGCGGCGGCGGGCTTCCTCCGGTGCGGCCCTGGTGTTGGGTGCGCGGCGTACATGGCGGTGGCCGATGCAGCGGCTGCGCAGCGCATCAGATCGACAGCTACTCGTGGAACCTCTCGTCCTTGCCGGTGTTGTGGTGCTCAGCGCGAGGCGAGGTGACACGGGTGGTACAGAGCGCGATCTGGGCATGTGTGGGCTGCGGCTCGGTAGGGCTCCGGCTGTGGGGCTTGCTCACGGAGGAGCGCGGGCGCCGGGGCGGCGGCCCCGGGTCTCTTCTGCAGCGACGGCGGACATGGTGGCTGCGTGGGTAGCGCCATGGACGGATCTTGGGATCGATTGTGGCGGGTCCGAACAGGCCTGCTGTGGGACTGTTTCTTGATGGCGGTACAGATTCCCCATGGCGATCCTCAAGTGACGGCACTGTCTGGCCAGCAAGGCTTCGGTGATGGTGATTTGCTTTTCACGTCCTGGTTCCGGCCATGTCGGTCCCTAGGCTGGCGGCCTGTGCGGGGCTCTCTCTTGCGGTGGCCATCGAAAGGTCATTGTGAAGGTTTCTTCCTTCAGATTCGATGGTTTACTTCAATGGTGAGATGCAAACTATAAAAGACGGCTTCACGTAGAGGGCTGGTGGTGCAGCAGCGTTGATGCATATCGCATTTTGTTGCTGGGATCGCGGAAAAGTGGTGGTCACAACACATGTGTGATGTCGACGGTCGTGCTACTCGAGCTTCCGGTCTTCAGATCCGGGGTGAAAGCCTAGGTATGACCCGAGTTGGTTATACCTGGCAATGGCGATATTATGTCGTTACTTTGTTGAAGGCATTGCTCGGTTTTGCTTGAACTCGTTCTTCAGGGTGAAAACCTAGATTCTTGCCTTTGATGGTTGGATCCGGTGACGATGACGCATGAGCGTTGCTCCCTTCCTGAAGGCGTTGTTGTTGAAGAATTTCATCGTCCGTGTGTTGTTATTGAATTGGTTGGTGTGGATATGGTCTTTGTTATAGCTTGTTGATATGATCGTTTTAGGATTCTTTTTCATCGTCTATGCGTAGCTTTGGTCTTATTTGACTTTGCTATTTGCTGACGATTTTTTTTGTGTGTGTTGATGTTGGCTGTGTGCATTCTAGCTATGCAGAACTCGAGTGTGTACTCATTGTGTTTGTATCCTCTTGATGCTCCATTCTGAATTAATAAAATTCATCCTTTATCAAAAAAAATTGCACGACAAATCTATTTTCATACTATGTATAATGTATTATAATTATTAATATTTTTCCTGCAAACTTGGTCAAACATTACACCAGTTGAGTTTAGAAAAAGAAGTATATGTGTTATTTTGAAGTCGGAGGGGGTACTTGCCGTGAGGTGAGCGATGAAAATTAAGGAGTCTAGATAAGCTCCTTCCATGCCCACGTGAATCAACTAGAAACCCTAATAAATGCATGCTGTTATGTAGTTATGTACTCCTTTTATAAAAACATGCAGTTATGTACTGTTCATTTTAAATGAACTCTGTGCATATGGCCCTTGCTGAGCTACACATGCATTAATTTGTTTCCGTATATTTTAGTCCCCCTGAACACCAATCAAACGAATTATGAAGTAAGTACTCATTGAGTTACCCGAGGCTGTCCGCAATGGAAAGTATATGCATATAATACTAGGGTAGTGTATGATACTATGTACATAATGCATAATTTTATATGTTCGTATAATAGATAACCTTATTTATTGTCATATATCATATTCAATCATCTCTTCTATCATTAAATTTTATGTCACGTTGACGAAATTGGTTAGTTGGCATACATGATACTTCATGTGATACTCCAATTATGGGTAGCCTGATGACCCAAACTTTTCTAGAATTAAGATGCATTACAATCGTAACTAATTATAACGTGGTGATAAGCTTTTCATATTCAGTCTGTTTAGAACACATCTAGATGTGACATAGTTATCAAACATTACAATGTGACTGTATTTGTGTGCTTTTGGTTTGTCGGCTCCATTAATTGGATATATCCCCTCCCCTCCCCCCTAAGCTAGTTTACATGTGTAGATGTTTAGATAGAGAAGAGTGCATGCATACATGAAGTAAACCTCTTCTTCGTTCTTTGCACACTGATTAGCTAATCTAGCTGTGACCCTAGTACCTTTCTTTTGGAGAAATCAAGCTTAAAGTGCAAAAAGGAAGCAATGTTCTACCCCAGCTGTTAGCTCTTTCCCCAGTGTCTAAGGAAAACATGAATTAAGTAAGAAGAAATCTTTTCTTTTGCTTCGGGCAAACTTCATCATAATACTAATTCTATCACACATTGCTTTCTCGAACCCTGGTTAATTTGAAGACAAGGAGGATCAGGGAATAGGAACTTGTATATAGCTCTACTTTGCTAATTGGCTAATTAAGAACAATATTAGAGAGATCTAGAGTAAATAAGTAATATAAGGACTCCGCAAAAAAAGTAATACAAGGAAATGATTAAGCTGGGATTCGTTGTAGAAACACACACCTGAGACCATTATTCATTGTAAACATCCAGATGCGAGACATATAGCAACAATCTCAGTCAACAAATGACAGGAAAACCAAGTCCAAGCATTAAGAAGCAAAAAAAAAAAAAACTCATCTCCAAATGAATGGATAGTAGCAAAACTGACATCCAATCGATGGATCTAGCTGCTTGTATTGTATATGTTCAACCAAATCAAACAAGTAGAAGTTTGAATTAAAAAACAAGAATGTTGAGCTGGCCGTTAGCACTATAAGAACGATCATGTGTTGCAGCGTCATGCGAAAATTTAACTCATCATCAAACCATTCCAAGAATGAACAACAATACTAATTTAAATTGGTGAATTTATGAGTGCACGTTCTCGCAACATATATTCCAATTAAACAAACAGGGACCAGCAAACTAACACAAACCAAATTTATCAGGTTAACGCAAAAAATATCAGGAGATTTCCTTCATCACAATGAAAAAGAGATAATCGATCGACCGTGATAAGAAGTAGAGGCTAACTGTTGTTGTACATGTCCGTGTCCTCGGACGCACCTGCTGTCCTCACCGCCGGCCAAGATCCGTCACGAGAACGGCGGCCTCTCGACGCCACCGGCAGCGCCCGGCCAGCCGTTGTGCCCGTCCACGGGCATTGGCGGCATGCCCATCGGCAGGTTGAAGAACTGGAGCCCAGCTCCTGTCGAGCCCCCCGACGGATCAACACCGAACGGCATGCCACCGCCGGCCTGGTCGCTCCCCGCAGGTGGCGGTGTAGGCACCACCTCGTCGCCGTCCTCCAGCGGCAGTCTCTCGTACGCCACGTTGCTGAACGACGAGGCAACGACGACCACCGGCCCTGCCGCGACGAGCGCACCGGCAACGCTCCCACCGACCACCTGACCCTGCCCTCCTGCTAGGAAGGCCGAGAGGCTGGTGGCCCCTGGAGGCGCCGGAGGCGGGAGGAAAGAGCCGGCAAGGGACAGTATCTCGAACCTTCCGTGGAGTGTGGCCACCGCCGGCGAAGCTGGCCCACTCTGGGCAGACTGTGGCTGCCGGAGAGTCACGTTCGTGACGGTCCCCGCCGCGGATAGTACACAGACGCCGCGCTGCCGACGACGCGCATAGGCGGTAAGCGCCTCGAAGACGTCGCACCCCGCGGCAACCTCGAGGATGTGCGCCCTGAGCGCGTTGGCGCTCTCCCTTGTGATGATCACTGGCGGCTTGGGCTTGTTCTTGGATCCGGGCGGCCGGCCGCGTGGGCGGCGCCCCACGACCTCGCTGCCGCCTATCCCAGCCCCTGCGGCTGCGCTCCCTCCCCCTCCGCCCGGCGAGAGCGCGTCCTGGCCGTCGTCGGATCCTCCGGCACCGTCATCGTGACGGAGGTGAAGCTGCTGGTGATGGTGGAGGTAGGAGTTGGTTCCCAAATCCAGTCCTGCCATTTTCTAGGGTAGAAGAAGAGCTAATTATAAGTAAGTAGGGAGTATAGTACCATTAAAAAGAGTAAAAATAATGGCTAGATAACAGTACCGGTAATATTAAGAAATTGGAGATGCAAGATAAGAAGTGGTGCTTGTGATGATGATAATAGGCCGGATCGGAGGAAGAGGATCGGAAGAAGAGAGTGTGTGCGTTTGTGTAGGGTTTGTGGTGCTTGTTTTCTTGGAGGAGAGTAAAGAATGAGGTTTTGCTTTTTGGGATGTGTGGGGTGGGAAGAAAAGAAAGCAGCTGAGGCGAGGTGTTCTTTTCCTTCCTAATGATATTTGTGGTTGTTTATCCTTGTTGATGTTGCTTTCTCATGTGGGCTAAATATTTTAGGGGGGCGGAGAGAGTGGAGGTGCAGGAGGGAGGAGGAGAAGATGGAACCCAATGAGTTGAGGAGAGAGGAGATGGATGGAGAGAGCAAGTGACGGCAAAGGAAGATGAGAAAGGGATAGGCTAGCAGGCTAGTGGTCTTTGGAGATGGCCGAAGAGGAAATATAAAACATGAGCTACCTTTTCAAGAAGAAAGAAAAAGGGGTGCTTGCACAGAGCGAGATGGCTAATTTAGTCTTGTGTATATGTCACTAGCATATGGGGTCTGGCAGTTAGGAGGGTCCACATGTCCATTGCATACATACAATGGACGGAAGTGATGCTAGAGCGCTTTTCTTCAGACAGAAGGATGATATGTATAGAACGTTGATGCTTATGCATGCAAGTGGAGGCATTAGTTTAATGGTGCAAGTTGGGGCTTATTGTACTCCTCCGTCCCGATAGGAGTATAGCGGAACATGTCTTGTACTTCCTCCGTTCGAAATTACTTGTCTTGAATATGGATGTATCTAAAACTAAAATACATCTAGATACATCCATTTCTGCAACAAATAATTCCGTACGGATAAAGTATATGCCATATAAATTTATATCTCTACATTCTTTGTTGAATAAAGTTTCTGAACTTAAAATTTTCTTAGCTTATTATACATGTTTCGCTAGTTAAATCGACCGCCTAAATTTCCATGACCAAATTATATTCATCCTGATGAAGTGTTAGCCCTTGATCCAAGCGTTGTGCCATTTTTGGTTTTGTGCATTCGGGCAACTTTGTTTTACGTGGGTTCCATGTGGGAAGGGAACTACTTCTTTATGGGCATGTTTGGATGGGTGGTTCGCACCTGGCTCGCATCTGGCATGTAATACTCGGCTCGTTTGGTTCTTGTGCGGTCTCCTTAGCCTGGCTCGATTGATGCATAATGAGGCCCCTCAGCCAGGCTCCGAGGAACGCAGGAATCGAGCGTTTCGTTGATGCATGCGCCTGCACCCGCGCGTCTGACTTAAAACGAAACAGTACGTGAGACTGGCCCTATTGTTTTATAGAATTACTTCGAAAGTGCCACTGTAACCTGCCGTATCTCTCTTTCCTCGTCAGATCGCATCAAATAAAAACCAATTGCCGCCGCTGGGAGCTCCCTCTCGCATCGTGCCGCTAGGCCAAGCTCGCTTGTCCACCTCAACCTCGCCATCCGAGCTCCCTCTTTCTCCACCGATCCGAGCTCCATCGTTCGTTGTGATCCCGCCGCCGAACGTTCGTGCTCCTTTGCCCGTCGGCGTGTTCTTTGCAGGGCCTGCTTCAGATGGGGAGGCGCGCCTGCGCCGGCTTGGCACGACCGTCCGCCATCGCAGCGGCGTCATGCAGCGCTGGTGGTGCAGGAGCTCACGCAGATCACGCGTTGGTGTCGGCTTGGACTGAAAGAATTCACTCACCATTGTGCTTTGAGAAAGTACGTTGCTGCATTTCTTATACAACCTAGCAAACAAAATCTCACATGAGCCTGCCTCACAGCATGCACACAACCAAACATACATCTCAGCTGTTTTTTGCATCAGCTTAGCCAGGCTAGACTCAGCCCGGATGGTAGATACGATGCAGCGTAAGGCTATGCAAGGAACCAAACATGCCCTATCTCTGTCCCTCACGTCGGCACACACTCATGTATAGCTAGAGGACACGTTGGAATTGGTTTGGCTTACCTTTGGCTTTCAGTAGTGCAGAAAACGCTAGTGGTGATTTACCAAAAAGAGCCTCTCTAGGTTTGCCTTGTGCTCTAGGCATTTAACTTATTGTCATGACCCCAATTCTAAGTCATACCGATTTAGCATGTAACACATCATATCACTTTGCGACCATAAACATGGTATTCTCACGACTGCGGCCTTACATAGATCGAGACCGTTTGCGCCTTTTGACTCACATATATGACTGTGTCGCTAGCATCGATATGACAGAGAACCCGGACCAACATGACTAGTCGTAAACCCAAGGTGGCACAAACTTACAGGAACATGCATACATGACCCAGCAATGCACATGCCGGTGAACAGCAAGTGTAGCCGGGCTGTAGCAAGCTATCAGGACTCCGGTAAACGCCGTGTGACATTTTGTGACGCCCCCGATTCAATCGTACACTAATCATGCACGCAAATGTGTACGATCAAGATCAGGGACTCACGGGAAGATATCACAACACAACTCTAAAACATAAATAAGTCATACAAGCATCATAATACAAGCCAGGGCCTCGAGGGCTCGAATACAAGTGCTCGATCATAGACGAGTCAGCGGAAGCAACAATATCTGAGTACAGACATAAGTTAAACAAGTTTGCCTTAAGAAGGCTAGCACAAACTGGGATACAGATCGAAAGAGGCGCAGGCCTCCTGCCTGGGATCCTCCTAAACTACTCCTGGTCGTCGTCAGCGGGCTGCACGTAGTAGTAGGCACCTCCGGGGTAGTAGTCGTCGTCGACGGTGGCGTCTGGCTCCAGGGCTCCAGCATCTGGTTGCGACAACCAGGTAGAAGGGAAAGGGGGAAAAGAGGGAGAAAAGCAACCGTGAGTACTCATCCAAAGTACTCGCAAGCAAGGAGCTACACTACATATGCATGGGGATATGTGTAAAGGGCCATATCGGTGGACTGAACTGCAGAATGCCAGAATAAAAGGGGGATAGCTAATCCTGTCGAAGACTACGCTTCTGGCAGCCTCCGTCTTGCAGCATGTAGAAGAGAGTAGATTGAAGTCCTCCAAGTAGCATCTCCAAGTAGCAACTCCAAGAAGCATCGCATAGCATAATCCTACCCGGCGATCCTCTCCTCGTCGCCCTGTAGAAAAGCGATCACCGGGTTGTCTGTGGAACTTGGAAGGGTGTGTTTTATTAAGTATCCGGTTCTAGTTGTCATAAGGTCAAGGTACAACTCCAAGTCGTCCTGTTACCGAAGATCACGGCTATTCGAATAGATTAACTTCCCTGCAGGGGTGCACCACATAGCCCAACACGCTTGATCCCATTTGGCCGGACACACTTTCCTGGGTCATGCCCGGCCGCGGAAGATCAACACGTCGCAGCCCCACCTAGGCAAAACAGAGAGGCCAGCACGCCGGTCTAAACCTAAGCGCACAGGGGTCTGGGCCCATCGCCCATAGCACACCTGCACGTTGCGAGGGCGGCCGAAAGCAGACCTAGCCTAGTGGCGTTCCAGTCCAATTCGGCGCGCGCCGCTCCGTCGCTGACGTCTGAAGTGCTTCGGCTGATACCACGACGCCGGGATACCCATAACTACTCCCACGTAGATGGTTAGTGCGTATAGGCTCGTAGCCAACTCAGATCAAATACCAAGATCTCGTTAAGCATGTTAAATATCCGCGAACGCCAAACAGGGCCAGGCCCACCTGTCTCCTAGGTGGTCTCAACCTGCCCTGTCGCTCCGCCACAAAGTAACCGTCGGGGACCGTCGGGAACCCAGGCCCACCTCTACCGGGATGGAGCCACCTGTCCTTTCAGCCCCCAACTCCGAACAGTATCACTGGTAATGTAACAATGTAAAGTATATAGTATATGCCCGTGATCACCTCCCGAAGTGAACACAGCCCAGTAGTATAGCATGGCAGACGGACAAGAGTGTAGGGTCACTGATGGAACACTAGCATCCTATACTAAGCATTTAGGATTGCGGGTAAGGTATCAATGACTGTAGCAGCAATGACAGGCTATGCATCAGAATAGGATTAACGGAAAGTAGTAACATGCTACACTACTCTAATGCAAGCAGTATAGAATACAATAGGCGATAT